GAAGCCGGTTTGGTTTCCGCGAATTATGTAGCAATTGATGAGTTTAATAACGAACAACCAGAGCAATGGAAGGTGGTGGCGTTCTCATCGGTAATGTATTTGCTACTTGGGTGTCTGACCGTTGCATAACCTGCTGGCGTATAGGGTGTCACAGACCCGTCTGGATGATAAGGTCTTTGTGTTGGGTTAGATATGTCACCGACAAGTGTTAGACTTCCAAGATTTACCGGTAAAGTATATGCACGTAGGGGATTTCGAATCTTAATATTTTGTAAGGTTGGATTATCAACATGAACATATTCATCGAATAAAACCGAAGGTAATCCTTGAAAGATGGTAGATGGGCTAGCCCAATCCCAGTATGGAAATCGCAATTTCTCAAGTTCTTTTGTGTATTCCTTCGTTTCATTATTATCAGGAGGATATCTTAATAATCAAAAAGTAATGTTCAAGCATTTATTATAAGCTTTAAAGTTAATACGAATGAACCATTTAATAATTAAAAAAACGTTATTTTACAAGTCTGGATTTTCTCGTATCATTTCTTCAGCCGCGTCATGTATAAGCATTTCGAGTAATAAAATATATGGACGATGCCAAGTTGGAAACAGAATATCACCATGGTGACAATATCCACCCCAACGATTTTTTTCTCCTTTGTAGTCAGTGAGCGGTTCCTTTTCCCCAGGTAATATGTCATAAGGTAAGTATGGGAGACCATGGATACCGGCAACCGCATAAAAGGATGTAGGATCATCAGCATTACGCTGTTGAACTGCGGAAAAACCTTGGAGGAACAGATCCCTTCGTTTCTTATACTTTGGCTGGGACATCAGCACCTCAATGGGAAGGCGGACTTCGATAGTTTCTTGAAGATTGAAATCATAACATATAAATATCGACGAGTCGCTTCGTTCAATAACAATGAACTTACTTACTGAAAGGTTTCACAATAACATGCTCCCTTTCAGATGATCGGGATTTTTGCCGCCGAAAATTCAACATGTTTAACAATCACTTTGAATTAGATTGATATCAAAGTGAATGTGAGGATTGAGAATTTTTTTTGCAGAACTAAAAAGGTTTGTTTATATATCCATTTTTTTTGAACAAAATTAACATACCAAATTAATAAAATCAAAGGACATTCTGGAGACTACAATGATAAGCAGAAACTCTAGCCAAAACAGGATGCTCTAAAACACCTTTTATACTGCCTTTTGGATGATCATCTTCTCACTTTAGATTTAAAAATGTCTCTATAGAATCATCAACCAGGAAATTTTGAAATGATATAAATGTTGCAACTCAATATCTGTCTTCTTGGACCTCAACAGGACCTCTTTACTAGTTCAGCCTACAAGATCATCTTCAATTAAAGCTCTGCATAAGCCAGCTTGGCTTGGCTTGCCATCGGTATTAATCAATTATGAATAAATATTCGACTACCAATTGACGATCATCACGGCCTATTTTCATAATACTTCCCTTATACAGTAATCATCATTTATTTGATGCAGATTTTAAACATCATTTAAATCTTTCATTCTATAGATATTGGAAAATGTTATCTGAGAATAGAACCGAAAATAAGTATCAACCCCGGTGATTTTGTCACATACCATGTTAAGCCGCCGGTAACAAACTATTTACTAACTAATAATACTATAAAATGATTGTGAGCTGTACATTTGAAAACTAATTATCCTTTAACATTTTTATCAATATCATGACTCTTAATCTTTATCTTTGTTACCTTATTCCTTAGAGTTTTCTTAGAGTTCCACCATGGATCGCAAGTGCTGGATTTGTATCGCGTGAATATTGTATCAGGCTCGTCGATCCTGAAAATACAAATCGATAGTGGCTGTTGTGACTGAAATTGATTTTCGTCTGAGTGTCTGAAATTGAGATTCCAATTTCAGACACCCTTTTTGTCCAACTTCAGACAATTTATAAAAAAAACTATTTTACTCAATCACAATATGCCAATTTTTTTTTTTTTTTTTTTTTAAATATAGTTAACTTTTAGCTATTAGCTGAATTATAATTTAATTTCGCGGCATTTATTTATTAAATTTTTTTTCTT